TCTTTCTGAATTGATGAAAATCAACACACAAAGAAAGACAAGTAATTAAATAAATGCATTAAGTCATAATCAATAATTAATCATGAGAGAAAAGTAAAAAATTTGAGTTTTACCTTCTTTCTACTTGAAGCTCTTTCTTCTGTGCTCAAGCTAAATGTGGGGGATTTAATGGGGGGTGTCCTTTCACTTCTGCATCCATTTAAAGCATTGCAAATATTAATCAAAATTAATAACCAAAATTAAGAATCCTCCTCATGGTGTAGATATAAATATAATCACTGTTTAAGGTACTAGCACCACCATCCATTTAGTCACTAGTACTAGTTTCCCAAGGATGAGAAATGTTTTAGGGGTTAACACATAACTCATGTAAATATAAAAAGTTATATGTATAAAGCCTTGCAGCAAACATGGTTCAATTCATTTCCATGGTCAAAAAATGAACGCTGCTAGCCAAATTGCTCAGTTATTCTTGTCTTTTAATACTTGTTGAACAAAATTTAAACTTACTCTGCATAGAGCAAGTGCCATTTGTATATGAGGAAAAGCTAGGTGTTTTGAACCTGTGATTTTATAAAAATTTACATGGAAGGTAGCAAGATTTGATTTGATCAATTAGAAAAAAAAATGCAAGAATTTTTTTTGTCATCTGATTAACTACTTTTCAAAATCAGCTACCTTTTCGCTTCTGATAATGGGGTAGATGATGAATGTTTTTGCAAGTCATTCTTAGAAGCCTGCAATTGGAAAATGACTCACTTTAGCATCCTTAACTGCAATTACAACTTGAAATATGATAAAAAAGTGGAAGTGAAAGGCTTTGCAAGAGGGTATATAATTAAATAGGAATTGAAGCTGGAATACCTTAGTTTTGGTTCCTAGAATATTTGAGCTATCCTTTGAAGCCTTGGAAGAGCTAGCACCAACTCTAGTACTTTCAAATTTCCTCGCCAATGATACTGTCAATTTATTGATTTCTCTAATGATTGTGAAATTAAGTGACATGTGAGGTGACTTAGCAGTTGATTTTTCTTTATCAGAAGAGCTTAATGCAGATTTATTGCTCATTGGGGTAGCAATATCATCTTTCTTAGAAAGACTAGGAGTTGTGGATTTGACAGGTGTAGAGTTGAACTTGGAGGTTCCAACAAATTTTAACAGCTTGAATGAAGAAACTGGTTGTTTCTTCTTGCCTATTGGTTGCAAAATTTCCTGATCAAAGTTGGTACCCTGCTGCAATAACTACTTTTGTTCAACTTCTATGTAAAAATACCAAAATAGGAAGAAAAAAAAAAGATCTTGGAAATAAATCAACAGAAACTATCTTAAGATTCATTGTCCATCGGAAGTAATTATTACATGGTCCAAGACTATGTGGTCCTAACCACCAATCTTTATGCAACACGTTATTAACTCTTTTAATTTACAAAATAGAGTTAATAAATTGTCATGTAGAGATTGTCTCGGATCACATAATTTTGAAGCCTATAAAATTTCTTGTTCATTGGAAGTGTTCCACTTACCTCTTCACTTGGATCCTTAGAGTTATCAACTTTTTGAAGCTGATTTTGCAACTTAACTACAAAAGTTTGGTGATCTATCTCTGGTTGAGCTCCTTCTAACTTGTTACTTTGAGGTAAAGTAGTCTCTACAGTTGAATTTGAATTATAAACCTTTGCATTTTGGAGAACTAGTTTAGATTTTGGACTCATCATGTGTGAATTATGGTTGTTATCAGCTTCATGTTCTTGCTGTGTCTGTGAGGCACTGTTTGCTTGTTGTTCAAGCAAAGCAGCTGCCTTTTGAGCAGCAAGTTTCTTGTAGTGAGCTTCAAAGAAAGCTTTCTTCTGTGCAACTGAACCTGACTGTGTAAAACTCTTTGCCTCTTCAACATAGCGGTTCTGAGAGAAAGTGGACCACTTATCCCATGCCAGAGACTCTGACATGAACCTCCCAAATGAGATTGATTGTCCAAGTGCATGATTTTGGTTGCTCTGAAATGCACAAATTACACAGGCTTTTCAAGGTGAACCTCAATGACATCATAGAGTATTAGTAGGTCTAATTATGACTAAGAACATGTTGGGATAAACTTATCCAGAAATACTTCTAGGAGAAAAAAAAATACATTTTTTATAAGAAAAATTAATAAAAGATATTCTATAAATTATCATATAATTCTTTTTGAATATAAATTAAAAATATTTTATGAGAACTTCTCTTATGAAATTAAAGAGATATCTCTAGTAGAAAAATTCTTAAAAATATTTTTACATTTGTATTCAAACAAGTTCTAATATAAGTTAGTTTTAATTTATAGAAAAGTTTATTTAATTTTTTCGTATTAATTTCTTCTAGAAATATTTCTGAAAAAAATTCTTAACAGACTATTATCACATTCTCTACAAGTACTATGTCATGGAAACCCAACCCATCAAAATGATTAATAAGCAGTAGTAAGTGAATTTCCAAGCTCATAAGTATATATTTGAAAAGAGCTAAGTATATAAGTGAAAACAAACTGAAATTTCTGATCTTTGTTTTTTTATTCCCATTTTTCAAAAACTAAGGTAAAGATGAATGAAAACAAGGGAAATATCATATGTGATGGCAGTTCACAGAACTCAAGACTACAATAAAACAAAAATCTTGGGTACAGTAGTGACTGCTAAATGAACTGACCTTGTTGGCTTCTTTGGGAAAGCCAGAGGCATAACAGAATGGCTGTTGCATGAGACAAGCTGATGAGTCTCCCATGTTTCTCTGCTACATCCAAACCTCGAAAGCTCCAAACTATGCTACAATTATTATAACGTTATCCACTTTGCTAGCATAGTTGTGTTTTATTCTATGTGGCCGTTTCATTCATTGAACACCCGTTCAAATTTGAATTTTCAAATAAAAAGCTGCGCAAGTCCATGTGATGTGCAAAAGTAGACAGTTTAAAGTTCTCAACAGATTCAAAAGGAGCATCATGGTGCAATCCATTTTGGTCCCAAAGTGGGGTCCACCAATCATGTTGGGAGGGAGTGGCCCACATTTTGAAAAGACCAACTATATCTCCTTGCGTGTTGTTGGTTAGTTTGAATTTGGAGAATCTTCATTTACGTTAAGCTCAATCTAGGAATCGAGTTCTTTGCTGCATGATTGGAGATGATAGAGATACATGGTGCAAGAGTTTTCTGCATTAGGGTATGACTACAAATCCTTTTCCATAAATTTCTCAGCAAACATTTCTAGAACAATAAATTTTTCTATAAGTTGAAACCATTTTTTAAGTTTAAAAATAAATTTTTTTAAAACTCTAATAAAAGTAGATTTTTATAAATTATTTTCTCCACAAAATAATTTTAATTTATGTATATATTAATTTTAACTTATAAACTTTTTTTTAAAATATATTTCTCAGTTCTAGAAGCGTTTTTGATACGTTCATTCAAGCACATAAATTTATCCAAAAGCGCTTATAAGAAAATAGGAAGAAAAAATAAATTTAATTTCTTCAAAAAAAATTAAAATTAATATATACACAGGTTAGCTTATGAAAAATCTCTCATTTTTATTTTTCTAAAAATCTCTTATTTTAATTTTTTAAAAAGTTAAAAATTATTTGATACTTCATTTCATTAATTTAAATTAATGTATAAAATGAAGTATTAAATGATTTTCAAATTTTCTTCATTTTCTAAAAATTTGTAGACTTGATCTATGCATTAAGAATTCTAAATTTAACGGTTAGATCGTTGAAATTTAATATAGAACATGAGTTATTGAACGAAGTAAATTTAGGTAGACTTATTCGTAGAGTAAACGGATCTCTCCTTATATATATATGAGGAAGGTTATAATAACACCGTTATAACTTTTACTAAGTATTACACCGCTTAATAACTTTATATTAAATGTGAATTTTGTAAGTCCAACTATTAGATTGAAAAGTTTATATCACTTTATATGTTTATATCAAATTTTATTATAATTGAACAACAACTTGAAAGTAATCAAAGTATTCATATTTTAGTATACTTTAAAATGTATATATTACGTTAATTTTGAAATATATATATTAAATTCACATTTAATATAAAGTTATTTAACGATGTAATACTCAGTAAAAATTATACCGATATTATTATAATTCTCTTTTATATA